ATGAAGTCGGATTTTCGAAAAACGAAACGGATTTTGAGATATATGGAAATTACAATTATAGGTGTTTCCGAAGCACATTTTCGGGCATTTTTTTGGGGTCGTTTCAGATATAACCTTAACCGACATGAGAACATATGAGTTATCACAAAATCTCCAATGGTGTTACCCATACCATTAAGGGTTGGTTCATTTGCCAAGGTAGGACCGGGCTTAGTCAGATCCGCTAGTCAACTTCCTACGGGGTATGTAGTTATGGGATACAGAGATTTCTACTAGAAACCCAAACTAAACTAGGTGAGGCTTCCATCTCATGAGACACCCTTGGGGAAATCCATACTGTTCTAGGTGAGAGATACCATGTGGGAAGCCCAAACTAAACTAGGTGGGAACGTGCATGAAAGCCCAAACTCAACTAGGTGGGAACCTCCATCTCATTTCAATATCCACTCGGTGCTAGGCATAAATTCCACAAGATAATCATAAAACCTCTACTTTGACTCAAGTTGATGGAAAGGTGTTCTTGACAACCAATCCATGCTAATACCCTTTTTAGACCATGTGGAAGCAACTATCACAATCCATGACCTAGGTATATAGGCTTGCTAGCCTTTGGTTCAATTAGTTAGGAGAAGTCCTTCAACCCTAGAACCATTACTATGTGAGAAGTCTTTCATGTTAAGTTCATATTCATACTTAGCATCATGTCTATAATTCATCATTAGACAAGGATATAATCATGACCTAAGCGATTCTATCGCTTTCTACCATCTATGATTCATAAGGTGATCTAGGTAGGTAAAGGTCTCTCAACACCATTCTATTTATTAACCTTGGATTCATATGTAGATTTTACTCTCAAAGCCTTAGGATCTAAAGTTGATAATATTAGCTTCTTGATTAAGCCCTAATGATCATCATTCATCACTATGACACCTCATTATCAATGACTCTACATCATGGAAGCATATTATGAACCTAGATTACATGACATTCAATCACCTTCTTTAATACTAGCTGATTCTAGTCACAATTTGCCTTAAAGGTTCAATTTCATCTTTACATGTCAAGATAAATCATGTAGTATAGAGTCTAGTTCAATTCATGTCTAGGTATTCCTAATCTTGATCAATTACTACACACAACATTGATTTAGGAAGATCACTCATGAACCTTCAATTTCACCTCTAATGGCATCAACCCACAATTATCACATTCATCAATTTAGATTAGCGTTTACCACAGAAATCACATGAATCATCATAATATCATTAAACAAAGCTAATTCAATAATAATTGGATGTTATCAACTAGATTGGAATCACATCCAAACCCTACCCACAATGCAAGCACAATCCTAGCTAGAATGGGGTTTTTGATTTCACAAATGGGGAAAACTGTATGGGCTCCATGGGTGGAAGAACCCATGGATGATTAAGATTCACATACCTTCAATCAAATCCCTAAACAAAGCTTGAATCAATGGGGAAAATATGCCTAAGTTGCTGCCCTCTTCTCTTCTCTTCTTCGTCTTCTTCTTCTTCTTCTTCTATACTAGAGAGATGATTTTTGGAGAGAGGTTTTGGGGTGTTTAGATGAATGAGTTCTAATGATTAATTTAGGGGTGTATTATACTTATATAGGTGGTTAATTAACTAACTAACCGACCTCCCTTAACCCCTAATTAATTAACTAATCAATTCCCAAACCCCTAACTTAAAACTAAATTACTTAAAACTGGCAGCACCTACTTAAAATCCCTGACTTAAAACTAAATTACTTAAAACTGGAGCTACTGGACGTCAATCACCTCCGTGGTTTACACCTGAGGCTCAACTTTGCAGGCCTGGTGCAGGCATTGACCTACTCCCATGAACCATGGGGCGTGGTCTGGTCTACGCCCAGTAGATTGCGACCGTAGTTCACACATTTTTTCCAGATTTAGGGACTGTTTTGGGGTCCTCCTCAAGGACCCCTTGGGTTGTCCTTGGGGAGTCGTACCAGGATGTTTAACCCCTAAAACCCCTATTCTAAGTACGGGAACCATATTTAAAAGTTTTAACCCTCATACGACTCCAAAACTCTTACCAAAGGATCTAGAACTCACTAAATTACGGGGTGTTACAACAACACAATCAGTTCACAACTAAACTTCACTAAAAGAATTCTAAACACCACTCCCCGGTAGCGGCACCATTTTTGATAAAACACTCAACTACACTTCATCCGATTCTAAGTGTAGGCGTTTACTATCAATTATAAACCCAACGACGAGTTGGGGTCGATCCCACAGGGAGTGATACGGTAAAGAATTCAATTACGAAGTGCAATAGTGTTCTAATTATTTGTAGAAGTACACATCTTTGAATCAATTAAAGTAAATGGCAGGGGTTTGACAATTAATGTCAACAGGGGGATAATAGTGAATAATCAACAACTACGAACACACAGGGGTAATTAAGTAGAGATGGATCCTTGGGAGTGTGATTGATTGAAAGCTAATTTCTCTATATGGGTGATTATTATTTACTAAAAATCAGTCAATCTTAGTGGGTAGGCTAGGCTTTGGGTGTAATAGTCATTTCTTAGTCTACTATTACGAATCAAGCGCGTTCTCTCGAACCTCGACAAGCATAATAATCATAAACAACCCAATACCTCAATTATCTACTCTTTCAAGCTAGATCGGTAAGAATGAATTTAAACCCACTTTCTCAAGCTAAGTCTACAATAATCCAATCACTATAATCATCAATTAATAGTTTTAACTCTGAAACCTCTTTCTCAAGCAAGCTTAGAATACTAGGCTAGAATTGTATTTGCAACTACAATTCATCAATTAAAATTCAACTATCAATTGAACCCATGCCAAATCAACAGTAAAATCCAAAAATACTAACACCCATAAGCTAATTGAAGCATTCAATCACATAATCACACCCCAAAGAATGGGGTGTTTAGCCACACATAACAAAGAGCAATAAATAGTAATCAACTATGTTTTCCATCAGCTTGGGTAACAATCCTCAAGTCTTCAAAATTCTTGAATTGAATTCAAAATCAAATAAACCCTAAATATCTACTCAAAAACATAAAGAACAGTGTTAGGGATCAAAAACACAATGTAGGAGCTCCTCAAAATCTTCAGAACTCACTAACTCTCATTTTAAAATCAAATTCATATGCTTCCAGATTTTTTGTTTTGGAGCCACTCAGCTGAGTATGTCGAGCGTAGATAATGATAATCCTATGAATATTATGTAATTGTGGTATTGAATCAAGATCCTTCTTCCTTATACCCTTACACTTGATTATGTATGAAGTATGAATGTATGTTTATGATAAACTTGTTGTGTTGATTGAAAGGCCATTCTCATGAACACAGTATGAATATGATGTGAAATGTTTACTCACATGTTGATGGTTCTAAGGTTTAAAGGATATCATCATCTAATGAATGTATGAGGTATTATGATGTATGTTGGTTGAGTGGCTAATGCATTCTCTCATGACCATGAACATAAGTAAAGCCTAATATGAATTCTAAAGGGAATTATGCTTAGCACCGAGTGGATATGAGTATGAGATGGATTCCTTCACACTAGTAGTTGGGTTCCCAATATGGTTATCTCATGAGATAGAAACCTGCACGTTAGTTATTAGAGTTTCTAGTAGGAATCTCCTTATCCCATAACTATGGGCCCGCGTAGGTCTTTAGCTAGTAGATCCACCTAAAAGATAAAATGTACGTTCTACCTTAGGCAAGTAGGACACCTCTTTTCGGTGTGGGGGTAGAACACCAGATTCCATGTAGCTCACATGGTCTATGTCGGTAAATGCTATTTTCTCTATATGATACGAATATCAACTATGATAAGAACATGGACTTTAACTATGACTTCTTAAGAGGTACTACTTAGTATGAGTGGGGGTATGGGACTTCACTTATTCATTGCACAAGTAGGCTTTAAGAGGGGTTATGGTGAGGCTCTATTATGTTATGAGGACTTATGGATTATGTATGTAAGATATGTATGGATGTTAAGGTTGACTTTACTTGTTACAAGTTATGAATATGAATAACTCCTTACTTATGTATGTTGGTTATGGATGAGGCAAACATAATATATGTATGTTGTTGGTGATTTAAATGTGATACTTAGCATTTGGTAGGGTTATGGGATCTTACCTTTGCATTTCACTAGTATGGCTTTGGGTTGCATATATGTTGGTTTGACTTATGTTTATTCATAAATGTGCATAACGACTTTTAAACACGATAATGACATGATTTCAACTAAATGTCCCTTTTATGCATGTTTTAAGGATTTTTGTGCATGGATTCCATACTTAGTACATTATTTGTGCTAACCCATAATTTCTACATTTACCATGAGTGTAGGTTCCGGTCGTTGAGCCGCACTTCTTCTTTCAAGTGAATCTTGGGTTGACTATTTCCTAGGCATGGTGAGTCCTCATGGTTTAATGACAAGACATTATTCATTTCTTGCTTCTATTGTACTTTGTATGTTTGAGACCTTATTGATGTAAATTGTATTTGACCCTATTTTTATTCTTTATTGTACTAGATGGTGATTGAGAAAAGGTCTAGACTCTTATTTTCGTTTATGAAAAAGAAGTTGACTTTGATTGTAAAAGTTTTAAAATTTTCCGCATCATTTCTATGACTTTATGTTTATGATTATTCTAAGGCCTTGTATGAGACCCCTTCGGGGTTAAGTACGCCGTTTTACATCTAGGGGGTACCCCTGGGTTGGGACAAACTTGGTATCAGAGCACAAGGTTTAGAATGATTCTCTGATGATGTCTCATTAACCACGTCTAGTAGAGTCTTGTTCATAAGTGTGAAGCGCGCCACATATATGAATGAGAGGCTATATGATGTTTAGCAATTTTCACCTCTTTCATAACTCTTTAGTCGTGCCTTAGAGTTTTAACTCTATGAAGTCCTTTTTCTAACCCTTTTCTTATGCATATAGGATATGACTACAAGAAGCGCAATAAGAAGGAGGGTGAAAGAGGAGATTGTGAATGAGGGAGTTCCTCCCCAAGGTCGTCAAGTTCCTCAACCTCCTAATGATGAGGGAGCTATGTCAAATGTGGAAATATGGACGGCTCTCCAAACATTGACTCATGCTTTAACGACTCAAGTAACTAGGGATACTAGAGCTCATGTGAACCCCAATGCAGGTACAACAACTTCAAGAATTAGGGATTTCACAAGAATGAATCCCTATATGTTCTATGGATCCAAAGTGGATGAAGACCCACAAGGGTTTATTGATGAAATGTTTAAGGTGCTTGATGCTGTGGGAGTGTCTCCACAAGAGAAGGTGGAACTAGCTGCCTACCAATTGAAGGATCTGGCTCAAGTTTGGTATGAGCAATGGAAGGATGAGAGCCCCGTAAGAGCGAGCCCGGTAGATTATGGATTGTTCAAGTCGACCTTCCTTGATAGGTTCTTTCCGTTAGAGTTGAGGGAACAAAAGATGCAAGAATTCATCAAACTTCGCTAAGAAGGTATGGGTGTGAAAGAGTATGGCCTTAAGTTCACCCAATTGTCTAAGTATGCTACAACCTTAGTGGCAGACTCTAGGGCCAAGATGAACAAATTTGTTATAGGGATATCCGACTTGGTAGTCAATAAATGTCGTTCGGTAATGCTCATCCCAAGTATGAATATTTCACATCTTATGGTTCATGCCGAACAAATTGAGGAACAAAAGCTCAAGCAAGTGAATAGAGAATCGAAGAGGGCAAGGACCGATGATGGGAATTCTTCCAAGGGTAAATTTGAGGTTCAAGGTAAACCAAGGTTTAAGAGAAGGTTTTCCAACAAAGGATCTTCTAGTGCTCCAAAGGTCAACAAAGATATGATGTCTAACCTTAAGCCACAATGAGGTAATAGTTGTAGCTCTTATGTTGAAAGACCTAGTTGTGCAAAGTACGGCAAAACACATGATGGCAAGTGCTTAGTTGGCACAGATGGTTGCTTTAGTTGTGGGAAGAGTGGCCATATGAAGAGAGATTGTCCCATGCTAAGGGCTCAAGGAAGAGAGGGCAAGCAAGTCCCTCCTTGTGGTTCAAATTCCAATGCTCCCAAGAAGAACCACTTCTATGCTCTTCAATCCCGAGGTGACCAAAAGAGCTCCCCAGACATGGTAACGGGTATGTTGCATGTCTTTTCCATTGATGCTTATGCATTATTAGGCCCCGGTGCCACTTTATCATTTGTTACACCTTTTGTGGCTATGAAATTTGAAGTGCTCCTTGAAGAGTTACTAGAACCTTTTTTGGTGTCTACCCAAGTTGGTGACTCGGTAGTGGCGAAAAGAATCTCTAGTAGTTGTCCTATTTCTTTGTCTCATAAATTCACTTTGGTTGATTTGGTAGAATTAGACATGCTTGATTTTGATGTAATTTTGGGCATAGATTGGTAGCATGCATGTTATGCTTCAATAGATTGTAGGACCCGGGTGGTCAAATTTCAATTTCCAAAAGAGCCAATTTTAGAGTGGAAATGGGAGAATTCTATTCCTAGAGGTCGATTTCTTTCATGTCTAAAAGCTAGGAAAATGATCTCCAAGGGGTGCATGTATCATATTGTTAGGGTTATGGATGTTGAGTCCAAGGTCCCTTCTTTAGAGTCAGTCCCCATGGTGAGTGAGTTTCCAGAAGTCTTTCCCGATGACTTTCCTGGCATTTCTCCCGAATGGGAAATAGACTTTTACATTGATCTTTTGGCAGATTCACAACCCATATATATCCCTCCCTATAGAATGGCTCCGGTCGAATTGAAAGAGTTGAAGGAGCAACTCAAGGACTTGTTAGACAATGACTTTATTCAACCAAGCATCTCTCCATGGGGTGCTCCAGTATTGTTCGTAGAGAAGAAAGATGGATCCCATAGGATGTGTATAGACTATCACCAACTGAACAAGGTGACTCTAAAGAATAAGTATCCTCTCCCTAGAATTGACGATTTGTTTGATCAACTTCAAGGGGCCAACTATTTCTCCAAAATAGATCTTCGTTCGGGTTACCATCAACTAAGGGTAAGAGGGGTTTACATTCCCAAGATGGCCTTTAGGACCCGGTACGGTCACTACGAATTTGTTGTTATGTCTTTTGGGTTAATAAATGCCCGAGCGACATTCATGGACCTAATGATATGGTGTTTAGGCAATATCTTGATTCATTTGTGTTCATTTTTATTGATGATATTTTTATCTATTTAAGAAGTGAGGGTGAACATATGGATTATTTGAGGATCGTATTGCAAGTCCTTAAAGACCACCAATTGTATGCAAAGTTTAGCAAGTATGAGTTCTGGCTAAGGTCGGTTGCCATCCTTGGTCATATTGTGCCGAGCATGGGTAATGAGGTAGATCCTAAGAAGACGGATGCGGTCTAGAGTTGTCCAAGACCTCTATCTCCTACCGATATTAGAAGCTTTTTGGGTTTGTCCTATTACTATAGGAGTTGTTGAGGGTTTCTTCTCCATTGCTTCTCCGTTGATGGCATTGACTCAAAACAAAGCTAAATTTGTGTGGTCGGAGGCTTGTGAGAAAAGCTTCCAAAAGTTGAAATATAAACTTACTTCCGCTCCGGTGTTGACCTTACCGGAGGGTACTGATGGGTTTGTGGTATATTGTGATGCTTCCTGAGTGGGTTTGGGATGTGTCCTTATGCAACATGGTAAAGTGATTGCCTATGCTTTGTGGCAACTCAAGGTACATGAAAAGAATTATCCAACTCACGATCTCGAATTAGCGGCGGTGGTGGTTGCCTTGAAAATATGAAGGCACTACCTATATGGGGTCCATGTAGATGTCTTCACCGACCACAAGAGTCTTCAATATGTGTTTACCCAAAAAGACTTGAATCTCTGACAGAGAAGGTGGTTAGAACTTTTAAAGGATTATGACATGAGTGTCCTTTACCACCCCGACAAAGCTAATGTAGTTGTGGATGCCCTAGGTAGATTGCCCATGGGTAGTGTGGTTCATGTAGAAGATGAGAAGAAGAAATTGGTTCGTGATGTGCATAGGTTGGCCCGGTTAGGTGTCCAACTAGTGGATTCCACCAATGGTGGAGTTATGGTCCATCATAGTTCCGAATCGTCCTTTGTGGTTGATGTGAAGTCTAAACAATACCTTGATCCCATACTAATGGAGTTGAAAGAATCGGTACTCAACAAGTCCGTTGAGGCTTTCTCCCAAAGGGGAGATGGGGTGGTTAGGTCCCAAGGTCGATTATGTGTTCCGGATGTTGATGGCTTAAGAGAGTAAATTTTAGAAGAGGCTCCTGGTTGGCGGTATTCTATTCATTCGGGAGCCACCAAGATGTACCGTGACCTACGGGAAGTCTATTGGTTGAATGGTATGAAGAAGGATATAACGGGTTTTGTGGCCAAATGTCCGAATTGTCAACAAGTTAAAGTTGAACATCAAAGGCCGGGAGGTTTGTCCCAATATATAGATATTCCCACTTGGAAGTGGGAGGATGTGAATATAGAGTTTGTGGTGGGGTTGCCTCATACTCGAAGGCAACATGATTCTATTTGGGTAATTTTTGATAGAATGACAAAGTCCGCCCACTTTACTCCCGTCAAAACTTCATTTTCGGCGGAAGACTATGCCAAGTTGTACATCTATGAGATAGTGAAGTTGCATGGGGTCCCCTCAAGGGCTTGGTACCAATGTTAAGCTTAGTACCGCTTTCCACCCTCAAGCGGATGGTCAAGCGGAATGCACCATTCAAACCATAGAGGACATGTTGAGGGCATATGTGATAGATTTCAAGGGTAGTTGGGATGACCATCTCCCATTGATTGAGTTTTCCTACAACAATAGTTACCACTCAAGCATTGCCATGGCTCCGTTTAAAGCCCTATATGGTAGGAGGTGTAGATCTCCGGTTTGTTGGTTTGAAGTAGGAGAATTTGCTCTAATTGGTCCCAAACTAGTTTATGAGGCCATTGAAAAAGTTCGACTCATTAGAGAGAGGTTGAAGACGGCCCAAAGTCGGCAAAAGTCTTATGCTGATGTTTGAAGGAGGGATCTAGAATTTGAGATTGGTGATTGGGTCTACTTGAAAATCTCACCTATGAAAGGTGTGATGAGCTTTAGTAAAAAGGGGAAGCTTAGTCCTCGATATGTTGCCCCATATCAAATCTTGAAGTGTATTGGGAAGGGTGCCTGTGAATTAGACTTGCCAAATGAATTGGCTCCGGTTCACCCTGTATTTCATGTTTCTATGCTCAAAAAGTATATTGGTGATCCGTTATCCATCATTCCTTTAGAGGGTTTGGGAGTTGATGAGAGTCTTTCTTATGAAGAGGTCCCGGTGGAGATTTTAGACCGGAAAGTTAAGAAGTTAAGAAACAAAGAAGTAGCTTCCGTTAAGGTTTTTTGGAGGAATCACTTAGTTGAGGTGCTACATGGGAGGCCGAGGCCGATATGATGTCCCGCTATCCTCTTCTTTTTCCTTTTACACCTATCCAAACTTGAGGTAAGTTGTTTTCTTGAGTTGGTGTTTTGGAAGTCAAGTGTGCTATAAGTGCTCTTTATGATTTCCTTATGATATGCATGTTCTTGTGAGAATTCATGTTTAGCATAAATTGAGTTTTCATGATTTATATGTTATGTTGATTTGCATTTTAGTATGATGATTGCATATTTGACTTCATGAGGTGAATTGATGAATATGCTTAGTTATGATTTTGATGAAATGACATGTTGGCTCCATATTGTTGTGTTGAGCTTTCTTTGAGTTGGAGAAGGTAGTTCCTCCCATGTTTATATGAAATGACAAATTTTGTGTATAATGGGTTGTAGATGTAGTTCCCTATTTCCTTGTGATTGCATTGATTATGCCTTGAGATGGAGTTGATGTTTACTCCTATAAATTGTGCATTTTTGTTATGTTGCATGCACGATGGGATGCTAGTCTTGAGTCTTTATTTCCGTAAGGTGTCTAAATCGTCATTCGAGGAAAAATGTTCCCAAGGGGGAGATAATGTAACACTATAGAAAAATGGTAGGTTAACCTAGAGCCTAAACGTGAGGATGAACATCAAGAAAAAGGGTTTTAAGGGTCAAGTCCTAAGGGGCAATTGCCAAGCAAAAGGGGCAAGCTAATGCCAAGGGCCAAGGCTGCTCTAAACTCCTAGCTACTGCCCCAACTTCCACGGCCATCACCATGGCTCGTGGGAGGCCTTGTGGAGTTGCCTTGGCCAAAGGTGAGAAGCTACCCAAAATCATAGCTACTACCTGAACTCCCACGGCCATCACCACGGCTCGTGGGAGGCCTCAAGGAGTTGCCTTAGGCGTTGAGCTAAAGGTCCCAAGTGGCAAGGCCACTGCCTTAAGGACCACGTGAGGGACCACGACTCGTGGTCTTCACCACAGATCATGGATCCCCTTGTGGTAATGCCTTGGGCTTGTGAGCTTAAGGAACCACTTCCTATTCACTGCGTCACACTCCACGGGATGGACCACGGGTCATGGTCCTCACCACGGCTCGTAGAGTGGCTCATGGTGCCTGGACGGGGTTCAATAAATGAGGGTTAACTAAGTAATTTCCTTTGTAGTCCAATTAAAATGGGGTTTTTTGAGTATTTTTAGGGGAAGTATATAAGATGTTTTTAAGTCAAAATATATTATTCTAAGTCATTATACTCAAACACCCAATTGAAATAAAAAACTTCCTCTTCTCTCAATATTTCTCTCTCTAAACACAAAGAAGAAGAAATGAGCCATTGAAGCTAGGGTTTGTGGATTCCAAAGGTTCTTACCCAAATTTCTTGAAGTTTCTTAGTCAAGGTATGGATGCTTTTAATCTTTGGGTAGCTATCATCCAAAGAGCCCCTTCAAACTATATTTTTAAGATTCCAAATCCCCCATATTTTGGGTTTTCAATCTATTGCTATGGGTCTCCTTCTAAAACATTTTCAATTGGTTATTTATGGTTGGTTATGATGAATTATGGTTGGATTAATGGAGTATTGATGTTTTATGATGAAAATTTCCCTTGGACTCATGATTTCTCCTTCTTCCTAAATTGTGAACTAGGGTTTTGTTTGATTTATGACAGGAGCTTGACAATTGATTATGTTTACTTTGATTTAGTTGTTGAATCATGATATCCCTCTATCTAGTGTAGTAATTCTAGAAGTTAGGGTTGATCTTGATTTATAGCCTTGAAGGGAAACTTGTTAGGGTTTATACATGTTGATGAGGATTGTATATGAACATGTCATTCACTTAGATAGTGATGATCCTGTGACTATTGTGTAATTGTGGTATTGATTCAAGATCCTTCTTCCATATACCTATAAACTTGATTATGTATGAAGTATGAATATATGTTAAAGATAAGCTTGTTGTGTTGATTGA